ACACAACAACATGTGGAGTTCTCCAACACTCCCTCACCGGTCTAGTCTTTTCAGACTTTGCGGGTGTGGCCGAAGTCGACACCGCGCGTTGCTTCGCCAATGGAACTGGGGTGATTGGAGTTGGAGTTTTGTGTTTCACCTCCAATACCTTAATGCTTTCAATACCTTCAGGCTTTGAAACAGCCTTAGCGACTTTCTAAGCCCTCTTCCTCCTGCTTTTATTGGGCCCAGGGGCAATAAGTTCGGTCACGCTTTGGACGGCTTCCGGTACGACATCAGAGGCCCCTTTTGAGGCATTCTGGACCGCTGTGACACACGACACGGTAGACATCACCTCAGTCGGATTTCCATCGACAGCAATTGAGGTTAGTTGCGTGTCTTCCTACAATGAGCCGACATCAATAGAGACTCCCATATTTCTCATCAGTAGCTCCACTTTCCGATCAAGAGATATGAGGAAAGACCACAACTGCTGGTTACCCAGCCCGATGTTGCTCAATGTCTCCTCAGTGACCTCAAGAGGCGTAGATCGACGGCGACGGCATAGAAGACAATGGAACAGCATGCTATCGCTAGTCGAAAGCATTGCGTACTGATCAGGGCTCAAATCGGTGCAGGTCTCATGGTACCAGCAGTTGCATACATAGCATTGCATGCCACCAGACTCGTCCGTCACGGGCTTTGAGCAACTCCCGCTGCCACATACAGCATTTGATTCGCTGATCAATGCAGCCGAAGACATATTAGAGCCGGTATTCAGTGAATCCGACATGACGCTTACAAAGAGTGTGAAACAAGTATCAAAACGTAAAACCGACAAGCTGTTACCTGCAGGGCAGTCAACAGAAACAGTTATGGGTTAAACAAGGTGCAAAACGGATTACAAAACACAAAAATACCGGAAAAATAGCCAGAGGCTGAACCCGAAAAAGATGGACGACGTTGGTATGTACCCGAAAACGGGTACGACGTAATCCGGGGAAAAGGATGATCCAAAATTCTTTGGATCAAGCGAAATTTGACAAAAGTCAAATTTTTTTGCACGACACTTGTAAACACTGTTCCGGAACTGTCCTTTGAAAGTAAAACCGCCAAGGAGGAGGAAACCGACAGTGACACCGGGGAAACCAGGTGGAAGCATCTTGTTGACGCAGAGCTTGAACCACTGGAGGTTATCCAGCATGCGCTCCTTTGGAAGAGCTGCCGCGGATTCAGCAACGTTACGAAAGATAACGCTACTATCAGTAAAAGAATCACCTCTACGAGGTGTATTCACTCCACGCGTCTTCGACGCGACCTCAGTTTCGACCGGTTTGGCAGATGGCACGGCGCGTTTCTTCGCCAAGTGAGCTGGAGTAATTGAGGTTGAGGCTTTATCCTCTGCCTCCAACTCCCTCACCGGTCTAAAATAGGCTGGTAAAGACTGAGAATAGCACACGGAAATAAATTGCGTGAAAACGGCTAAAATGGAGCGGATGTGAACGGTCTAACCTTGATAAACTACAGAAACTTGCTCTTTATCCATAAAGGGAACTTGGTCAAAAGTGTGTGTTCATTCCATTTAATATAAAGCAATGCCTACAATCAAGCAAAACACTACCATCGTGATAACCACGAAAGCGAAATATGCACATAGGTATGAAATTCGAAGTTAGTAAAACTATTAGCATTAGAAAACAACTATTACTTTTTGCATCTTAAACAACTTCACATCACCAGCTAAAGTTTATGTAAATACCCATCTAAGCCATGCAAAATCCATGGGGTTTTGCAAATCGTTGGTACGAAATCAAACGTAACGACAGATATTTCCACTTTAAGCGTTATGTGCGTGTAGAAACAAAAGCATTAATACCAGAAGAAAGCAACCTTTAAAATGGTTTCGCGCAACTCTAACCCCAACCGTCGTCCAAATGCTTAATCGCACTCAACCGACGCGCGTTTATGTTTAGGTCAACAACTATATTTTTGTTGACCCAACAACAACTCACTGTACTTTTGTTTTTACTTTATTTTCTTGTTTATTATTTAGGAAGTATACTGGGGTAATGGTAGCTTACAGTTGTCGCCGAACTTATTTGACGTCAAGGTTGAACAAAATGACGGCAGCTCTCCATGCATCCGGTTTTGAATGTCTATTCGCTCGTTGCTTTCTAACTGCCGACCTCCTTCTCCCGCTAGTTTTCTCCGGCGGCTGACCCGATAGTATCAGTTTTTAAATGTTGGTCTTAATAATTCGGGATGGCTGAACCAGACGAAGGTAATTTTGCAACATTATGCATCATTATTTTCACAAATTAAGATAAAAACGCCGAAGAGCGATATGAAATCCTCCAGGACTTATGTAAGCAACAGATGTTGGTAAGAATGCGTGCACTGGTCTGATTGTTTTCCAAAGATTAATGAGGCACTTAAAGCCGAGGTATTAAGACTGGGGGAATTGTATCAAAAAGCATCTACAGAACGCAGGTTGGTTTCTTTTTACTCCTTTCAATTGAGCTCCAGTTTGCTATTAAATGAATTACTTGAAAATCACTCCTCCTGCACAAGTGCCGTTTTCGCGAGTGAAGCCAGGTAACCTACCTTTCCGTGCTCTTATTCGCATAGTGATTATATTGTTCCTTGCTTTCCTAAAAAACGCTCTATGGCCGTAAGTTTTTTTCGCTACACGCCATTTCGTACTTAGGATCCGGTGGTTGAGATTCCAAGGAAGACTCCGGCTATGTCTCTCAGTCCTGAACGTGAGTTACACTATTTATTCCACGTATTCATAACTAGACCACATGACTTTAGACGCTAAGCCGCTATCCACCATGTGTGCACCTCAGTAACTGTGGTCACCCGCAGCGGAAATACCCTGTCGTTATGTATATTCGCATCTAGGCTACCCATTTTCCTTGCTTCTACATTATCGGTGTTTGTCGTTTTGGTGAGCTGTATTAATGTGCTTCCAAATCCCAATTATGACTGTCACGTTAGCGATCACTGACCTTATAGGGTAGGTTATAGCGCGACGATCTTGTTCTATAAATCAAGAACTCCGATTTATACGGCCAACCAAATGTGTGCTGCAAAACAGAAAAACGCTAGAATATGTATGTTTATTTGAAGGTTACTAGGTCCTAATGCTCGTAATAAGGCACTGAGAGGGATCTAGCTAGAGAATATGTGGTAGGGTGCTGAGTGCGATGGTGTAATATTCGTCCGGTCGATGGTTCCGAGGGTTTCTGTGTGCGGGGTCGTGTTAGACCGTGGGGGCTGAAAGGCAAATGAGATGCTTCGTAGGCATCTGGAAAACCACCCATTTTGTCGGAGCTGGATGAGTAGTGTGCTTGTGCCACATCTCGTGGCTAGCTTGGCGGTACTGTCATAGCTGCCGATTTGAGGACCCAGCGCGAAGCAACTGTATGGATGGCGTAAAAGCGTACGACGGTTGGTTGTTACCACAACACCGAAGAGGAAATGCTAAGGCTAAGTGAAGTCGGAACAGCGCTTACAATATGGGTTACGCTCGACGAAATCTTATTTGTTGCCGCGAGACTGGCGCGCTACATTATTCCCCCTCTTATGAGGCGTTGTTTTTAGCTCCTATCGAAGCCCTGACCGTTGTCAACCTGCTGTCCCTTATGTTCGGACAATTCCGCTTGAGGGAATGCTTGTGATCGTTTCAACGGCTGCAGTCCTGCTTAAGGGACTGGCGTTATGAGCTTGCAAGGTCGTCACATTTGTGTTCAGTTGAGGGTTACGAAGGGAGCTGAAAGGCCAGGAAGATATTTCATAGGCGGCTGAAAAACACTTAGTGACTATGCCAAATGAACGGTTTGTTTGTGTAACATCTCGCGGCTAGGTTGGCGGTACTGTCACAGTTGCAGAAAGCGGACCGAGAGCGAGGCGACTAGATGAATGGCGTAACAATGCAACAAATAACTTACCCTCGACGACAACTTACTTGTTAACTTACTACTGCGAAACTGACGCGCTACAGATGGGCAGTCAACGTTCGCTTTCAAAGTCCGGTTGTTTGTGTTTCTCAGACAAAACGTGCACCATTCTCACGTGAAACCACCTATTTCCCTACTACATAAGAAAACTAATTTCATACTATTTGATTTGCACAACAAGCGGGGGAATTTCTAGATCACTACGCATACCCTAGAATGATGACCAATCGATCTGCGTGAAAACTGTGCGTCCCCAGCCAGCCTTTTGCAAAGCAGGTGATGATACCTCATGCAGTTGCTGGGGGAGCACTAGCGCGATTGGAACTTAGCGGGCTGCCACCCGTATCCTCCCTAACGGTGACAAAAACACAAAATGGGTTTTTCAAACGTTCTTTGTTTTTCAGTTTTCGACAGCTTATGTCGTTTTTTGTTTGCGGTTGGCCAACAAGATAAGGAGAGCAGAAGAAAAACTAATCTTTCAAACGCGTTGGCCAGTGAACTCGCCTACCCGAGTTAGTCGACTACTGCAGTTCGGGTGACGACGTTGTCGACTCACCTGCTGGGGGAGCGGCTGATGATTTGCCACTCAGCTCGATTGAGGTAAGATTGAAGACAAATGGTGAGTGCTCACTGTAGTCAGTGGCGTTGGGAGTCGACCTATCTTCCGTCATCGGCTGCGTTGATTCCTCGGAATATGAGCAGAAATCGTCCTCAAGCTTAGGTTTCATGTGAGCATCCTTGAGACGGTCAGTCTTAACGGCTTCACGCTTGCCGTGTCAATCGTTGATAAAGACACGGTCCTTAGGTTAAAGGGCCTTCATAAGGTCGCGCAAGTGGTCTATGAAGACCATCAACACGGAGGAAAGCGAACGGACAGTGTCGGAGGTCTTGGGGTACGAGTGACTTACGTTGTTCTCTGATGTCGGTAAACTCGATGTGACGCATGCTCGTGGCCAGTCGCCGAGCGTAGTTCTCGTCATAACGGAAGATTCTGGGACTCGAAAAAGTAGTCACCATGTAAACGCAAAAGTTGTCCATATACCATTTTGGCGCTGTACGTATGCAGATTAGTCTTAAGGAATGATCGGATGCCGAGAAGTATCATGGGCAGTGCTTTAGTCCAACTCAGTGCGTTGGTGGCGCTGGGTGAAGCTTTCAGCTGTCAGTGAAACCCTTCCACCATGCCGTTTGCGTCTCGATAATAGGCGTTAGTAAGAATGCGTAGTCATCCAGTTACTTTAAAAACATCGTTAAAATTCGAGGATTCCAATTGTACACCGCGGACGGTTGTCACTGTAGCTGGACAGCCATGCAAAAGCGACCCAGCGCTCAATGAAAACGCGCGTTACGGTTTCCCTGGATATGTCAGGAATGAGAACTGGTTCGGGCCCACGTATACAACAGTCAGTCATGGTCAAAGTATAAACTATTCCGTTGGACAGTGCTAAGGATCCAACTAGATCGGGATGGACATAGGCGAATCACGTCGCAAGGAGACTGGACCTTAACGTCATGCGTACCTCATTGAGCTATACTGGGTGGTGCCTACGGGCACCTTGAGATATACTCCTACAACGTTGGCCAATGGTGAGAAGTCAGACAAATTTAGTCTCCTGGTCCTCCAGGTTGAGGTTTTGAAATGAGATGGCGTCCATTTCTTTAAAACTAAATCATTGCCACCTCGCTGCCTTGCAGACAGTATTTTGAGCCAAAGGCTTTGGATGAGGACCCTAATCGTCTTCCTTTCTAGGTCTGGGCGCCCTGGCAGTATTCCAGCCCATATACAACCATGACTTTTTCTCCAAACATAAACTTCATCTTGCATCGGCCGTCGCGCAGATTATCAAGGGTTGCCTTATCTGCTACATACAGCAGGGCAGATAAGCAAAAACACGCTACTGCTGTCACCTCCCTTCTTGTTTTTTCACCTTTTTCTCTTACTCCCATTACTAACCTACCTTTTATACTTCCCAGCTTAATTGACGTCAACCGAAGTTCCACTGGAGTAGAATCATCTGCATTCACCATCCCACACCTATCGGTATAAGTCCCTTATAAGGCCACGCTGTCCTGTTTCCCTGACAACGTTCAACGGTCGCACTTTAAGACAAGTAGGTCAACAAGCTGCACTCGCACGCACCTTGGACACACTGGATATTGATGTGTGTTTTGTGTCTGAAACTGGGATTAATGACCCTAACCGAGTTATTGAATTAATTGCACCCGGCTTATCCTTTCGTTATTGGTTGTACGCATCCGGAGACGACGATGTAGCACTCACGGGTCAAACTGGTGTAGGTATCATTATAAGCTCCAAGGCTGAGCCATTGTTGGTTGATTGGATTCCGGTGAGCAGCCGTATATTTGCAGTCGGTTTGACGACAACAGCTAAGGTGGATTCACGAAGTAATGCAAAATGCTGTTTGTTTGTGATTTCCGTTTATACTCCCAGCGACCTCAGTTCAAATACTGTCAAGGACACATTCTATCACGAACTGAATGCGCTACTACACAGTGCTACTAGTTCAGATATCATAGTACTTGCAGGGGGTATGAACGCACAAGTAGGGCTTCTGAGCTCATCTAGGTGGTAATTATGGGCTTAACTCCGAACGGACTGACAACGGTGAGCGTCTGCTGTGATTGCGTGCGGAGCACCAGTTGTTTCTTAGTAGCACTGCCTTTAGACACAGTGGGCGCCGAAGTGCTACTTAATAATGTGCCAGCTGTACGCCGTAACGGCGCTTCGCTGCCACGCGACCACCACCAGTCGCGCGTGGGCTGAGTATACCGCGAGGACGCCCACCCCTACGCGGATTCGAACCGGTGACCTTATGGTTGCAAAGCAAACGTGCAGACCACTCGGCCACCGGCCGACCGAAGTGCTACTTGGCGTCCTCCTGTAGCTGGTCAGCGATGGACCCAACTTGACAACATAGCCATAAGTTATAGATGGCGTGGTTCCATGCTGGATTGCGGCTCGTACTGGAATACCTGCGTCGGCTTTGATCATGCCTTGGTACACTATCCTTTCTCCATGAACTGTACCGGGAGGCGCACCAAGCGTCTCCTCCGATTGGCAACTGGGAAATTGTCTCAGTACTCCGTCAGGCAAGCCTATCAAGAAGCACTGCATACCGAACTTTCGCTGTCCTGTTCTAATGACGCTGAGCTTCAGTGGAATAAGATCTCAGCCGCCATGCACGACGCAGGAGCATTTGCTTATGGCACTATCAATCGTCAACGCACCAGTCACTATATATCCGAGAGGTCGGTGAACCTGTTGGAATCTAGAAAACACCTCCCGGCTGGCTTTGAACACAATGTGACCAGACGGGCTATTAGTCGCGAATTAAAGCAGAGCCTACGTGCTGACAAGGAATCCTGTTAGACCACTCGGGCTAAGGAAATGGAGGAGGCAGTGACAGTAGGCAATTACCGCAAGCTCTTCTAGCTGATCCGAACCGCTGGTCCTAGGAAACCAGGCATCTGTGAGACAGAGGCCGCGAGGATGCACTGATACACAATAAGGAGCGCCGTATGGCTCGTTAAGCGGAACACTTTCAAGATCAGTTCAACTGACCCCGTGCTGCCGAACCTCTTCCTACTTAGGTAATGGACGGTTAGTTTAGAGCCTCCGTCAGAGGTCGAGGTCCGAAACGCGATCACAGCGCTCAATCGTTTTCGTGCCTCTGGCCTGGATTCCCTCACACTTGCACTATTTAAAGATGGCGGTGAGGTCCTCTGCAAAGCACTGTCCTCCGTATTCGAATATATCTGGGAGGAAGAGAGTGTGCCGG